TCTTTATGATTTTTGTTTGGATGACCTATCTATTGATGATAATGGGGTGTTAAAGTCTCCCACAACACTGTGTTGGTGTTATATATGCTTTAGGTCTTCAGGGTATGTTGATGAAATTGGGTGCGTTGACATTGGGTGCATATAAGGTTGATAATTGTATTTCCTTTTGGTCTATTCCCCTTTTATTAGTATGGATTCTTCTCTTTTATTTCGTTTGATCAATGTAGGTTGAAGGTCTACTTTGTCAAGAGATAAGATTGCTACCTCTGCCTGTTTTCAGGGGCCATTGGCTTGGTAAATCTTCTTCCAGAGGCTGGGATTCTTGTTCCATCCCTCTGACCACGCCTGCTCCTAAGGACCCTCCAGGAGCCACATCACATAGTGACCCAGAGTAACTGGGATGTGGGAAGGTTCCAAGGTTTGGCTGAAACCCTTTCCCTCTTGACAGAAGAACTCAGTGTGAGAGGGGTAGAGACTGGCATCTTCCACACCTGTGAAAATGGCTTGTCACTTGCAGTCTCAGGAGCGACATGTTCACAGGTGATGGTCTCATGGCCACTGAACTTCAACAGCAGGAGGGAGTGGGCTTTCCAAGGGTCTGTAACAAACACTGGACGATAACCACTGGGTTACGTTACATGAACCCACCACCATGACCCTGGACAGTCCCTGGAATGGCCTCATCACATTAGGAGGTGTTCGAGTCCTGAAGGCAGAGTCAGTTTTCTCCGTAGGAAGAAATATCTTTTGAAGAGGAAAAGTGCAGCACATAAAAATGTCCCTTTATGTTTAATATTGCATGCTTTTATATCATTCCTGAAGTAAGACCATCCACAACAGACCTAGTGACTAGACAGAGTTGGGGTCATGCCCCCCCCCCGACCATGGTCTGGCAATACTTGCTGCCCAGCTCTGGGTTACACCGAGAACCCACAGGACCTTCACAGCTTCCTCCCTGGGGGAGGAAATAGGGGTGTTTTCATGGTCCTGCGTTTTCCCTCTCACCTCTCAGATTCTGTGCAGTTCTGCTGCCCACTTTTGAATTTGATATTTGTATTAGTAAAGTCTGTTCGTTTTTGTTATGGTGATGGTGATGATGGTGACAGCAAAGGTGTGCTCAGACCCCTGCACCAGGGACACTGGGCAGAGGCCTCCGGCAATGGGAAATGGGAGAGAAGGTGGTGACCAGGTGCCATGTCCTTGACAGCCCAAGGAGGTGCCGGGAGTGTGGAGGCCATGGGAAATGGAGCCCCTGATGAGAAGTCGGCAGCTCCAACCCTGTGATCATACCCAACCTCTGAACAGATTCCTCCCTCCTGCAGTGACAGTGTCTGAAAGGATAAGTACAGCCATCCCTGTCTAGCATGACCTGCTTAGGGACAGCACCAGCCCAGGGCCATGTCCTCAGATGATGAGCAGAGAGCACACAAGGAACACCCAGGGCCTTCCCCTACCTCCAGTCCACAGCAGCAGACACCTGTGTCGCCCACTCGTCTCTGAGGATGCCCATCCGCCACCCCTTGGCTCTTTCCAGGCCCAGCTGGGCCCCAGCTACATTCACCCTGCTGATTCCTCCTGCTGCCCATATGGTCATGAATCTGCCAGGCCACCAGCTCCAATTCATAGGTGAGCCAAGCCCTGGACCCCAGAGGATAAATCAGAAAATAAATGTATACTATAGCCAATAGAGATGCAGCTCCAATGAGAAATAAAGGGGAGGAGCATCAAAACCATTGAAAGCCACTATGCTACATTAAACATGAGATAAACCACAATAGCCAACAGTCTTGAAAAAAAAAAAAAAGAACACAAGTGGAGACTCTCTTACTTGGACACTTTCAACAATGCCACAGTAATCAGAATGCTGTGGATTTGGGTTCACGTACAGACCATCTACATACAAAGGATTAGAATTGAAAGTCCAGAAATAAACCCTCACCATTTTTAGTCATTACCTTTGACAAGTGGGTCTGGAGAATTTAATGGGTGGATAAGAAAGTTTGCAATTAATGGTCCTGAGGCAGGCTAAAATTAGGGAAGTAAATTACACTTCAGATTGGCCATGCCCTGGCTCAGGGACCGCCCTCACCTGGCAGGGGAACTGCCTGTGCCTTCCCCACTCACTGATTATGGGATGGGAATCTCCTGGTTCCTCACTGCCTCCTGATCCCACCTGGGCCCCACCATACTCCCCTTTTGTATTTCCTTCCCTAACTTTTAATTAACTCCATTTACACCCACGTGTCCTGCCATGGATTCTTCCATACAGGACACAAAGAATTTGGAAGTCTTCTGATCACAGACTCCACCGCCACTGCCAACAGTTCTGGGGTCGCTGGGTAACGAAATACAAAGGAATGCATTTTTGGAACTTATTCTGATTATATTTAAAAAATTAACTCAAAACAAATCAATGTGTGAAATGTAAGTGCTACACCCGTCAAAAATAAAAACAAAAACCGTGTAGGAGGTGTAGCTCAAGTGGTATAGTGACTGCCTAGCAAGTGCGAAGTCTAGACTTTCAAACCCCAATACCGCAAAAAAAAAACCAAAAACGTTTAGAACAAAACATAAGGGTAAATCTTCATTACCTTGAATTTAGCAATGGATTGCAAAAAAACAAACAATAAAAGAAAAATAGTAATGGCTAATAAGTACAGTAATAACTTGTATTTTATCAAGATTAATAACATTTGTATATCAAAGGATATCAAAGTAAGTAGGAGAAAATACTTGGGAACCGTACATGTGGTGTGGTTTCACATCCAGAATATACAAGAACTGTACGACTCATCAACAAAAGACAATCTAATTTTTAAATGGGCAGAGGACTTGAAGTTGTCTTAGAGAAGATGTACGAATGACCACTAAGCAGAGGGAAAGACACTCAGTGTCACTGGCCATGATGGAATTGCAAACCAAAGTGACAGTGAGCTCTCCTGCACACCACAGCGTTTGTGTAGCAGTTTTTAACAAAAGTTCCTAACGAGCCTGGGAGGGTGTGGAGAATCGGCCTCTGTGCTTCACTTGGGGAACAGAAAACGCTGCAGGTGCTGTGGGAAACACTTAGGCAGTGCCTAGCAGAGCCTCAGAGTGATCTGTGCCCAGCACCCCGCTGCTGGGTACAAACTCAGTAACAAGTGACCCTTGCAGTCCAGTGTCACTGCAGCCTCGTTCACGACATGCAATCTGTGCAACAGTCCCGTGTCCATCAACAGATGAATATGTGGATAAACCTGGCGCATCAATACACTGGAAAGGCAAGCAACCACAGAAAATAAAGTCCCCTGCATGCCACAGCGCAGGTAAGCCTGAAATATTTTTAAGAAAGAAACCAATTGGCACGTGTTTGCATAATTTCATTTTCATGCAATGCCTAGAATAGGCAAATTCATAGAGACAGGAAGTAGCTTAGAGGTTTGCAGAGACTGGGGGTCATGAGTAGTTTGAGTTTTAGTTCAGGTGAAGAGTAGTAGTACTACAGGTGAATGAAGCTAGTGATATTTCTTTGTATACTTCAAATAATAATAGCACTTTTGTTATAAATATTTTACAACAATTCTTAAAGTCCTTAGGGAAGATTTATAAAACATCCACTCTGGTCAGATAATCTTAATACCAATTTGCAGACCCCTCAGGACATTTTGGGCAAAGAGATCCAAGGATTTAGAGACAAGAGACTGACTTGCCAAGAGCTCATGGTGCCCCTAAAGCCAGCACCCTCTCCCTTAAGTCTCAAGAGACTTCCCTTTGAAACCTCAGGAGCAGGTGAGTCTTCTTGAGTCTGCTCAACCCTGGGTCCACAGTTCTCCCGACTCCAGACCAGAAGTCCGGGGGTCCACTCTCATCCTCTGCTAGACTCGCCCAGCACCGGATGGAGTCAGGCACCCTGGGGAGCCACAGTAAACAGGACCCAGGATGATGGGCCCTGCAGTCTGCAGGTCAGATCCCATCCTTGACCAGGAGTCAGGGCAGCTCACACCAGTTGGAGCCTGGCCACTGACTGCAGGTCTCCTGATGACCTCCAGGGGGCGACGTCAGAGCACACAGGCAACACTCAGCAAAGTAAATCCCTGAGAAATGAACTTGGCTTTAACTCAGCAAGGGGAGATGCAGCCTGACTTCCATCCCTTGCTCCAACAGACTCTACTGGGTCCCTCCCACGTGTGTGCCCTGTCCTGCCTGTTCATTCCTGGGCCCTGGGGACTCTGCTCCGCCAGGTATCCCTGTGCAGCCCCCTCCCTCCTGGCATCACCCACGAGGAAAGCAGGGTGACCCCAGAAGAGTCAGTTGGGCAGAGGACAGAGTCCACTCAGAACAGTCAGAGAGGTCACGGACAGAACTGAATCACAGCTCAGCCCACACAGAGAGAGGAAGACTCCCCCCGGACAACTCCCCATGAGGACATGGAGCCGATGGCCACCCAAATTCTCACCAACCACCACAGTCCTCTCTTCCAGGACACACAGGTAATCTGAAGGTACACACCCAGCACCTGGAGCTCCTTCTGAGGCAACTGCTCTTAGGTCTCTGTCCCTAGATCCTCCACCAGACCAGAATGGTGACATGAAGATAGAGGACAGGTCCCCCTCAACAGTCATCATTCAGCTGGCCCCTTTCCTGCCCCCAGAGCCTCATCTGTCACCTTCCTGCTTGGGTCAATTCTACCTTTCCAGTGCTTTAGAGAACACAGGGATGACTGACTGTTCAGGTTACAAAGGAAAACACTCCCCTGGATTTGGGGACCACAGCTCCTCTGTGGAACTCACAGTCCCACAGACAGCATGCAACTGAGTTTCACACTGGTTATTCTCTCAGGAGACAGGAAAATCCACCAGTCTTGCGTCTCAAAAGTGTGCTCTGAGATACTGAAACAGAGCATAGAGGAAAGGAAGAACCAGAGGCGGGACCGAAGCTTACTGGACGCAGGCCCCGCCCCCAGCCCACGTGATTCTGGGAAGAACTCCTGCCCTGGGAGGAGGCTCAGCTCAGAGGGAGGAAGAAGAGCGGAGCTGACACCCTGAGCAGCTGAGGGAGCGGTTCTGAAGTCAAAGCTCTGCTCCACAGAAGACAGTTAGCAGACACCATGGAACCACCCTCAGCCCCTCCTTGCAGAGTGAGCGTCCCCTGGCAGGGGCTCCTGCTCTCAGGTGAGGGGACAATTCCCTGGGAGTGAGTGGGAGGAGGGGATCACAGAGACTGGCTGGGGTATCCTGGGGAGGACAAAACCCTGAGGAGGGAACAAGGACTTCTGTTTGGAGCCTGAGGGGAGAGGACACAAAAGAGGGGCAGAAGACCAGCCACAGGACATTCAGTGAGCTGGAATTGGTGACCAGGGAAGGGAACCTCGGTTCTTCCTTATTCCAAGTTAATCTTCACTGGCCACTGCATTTTGAAAATTGTTACTAACAACTATGGCAGAGTGACTGTCCAAATAAAAACACCCCAGGGGCGTTAACCATGGTTCATAGTCACCAACTTCAGAAATTGGCAGATAAACCCTGTTCATGCAGGGCCCTGGGAACGTGGCTCATTCAGCCCCAGACTGGGCTGCAACAAAGACCAGAGCAGGCCCTGTCCTCACACAGCTCTCCTTCTAGTGGCAGGAGAACCATGCAGCAAGCACACCCAGAAGGTGAGGTCAGGGAGTGACAAGAGCCACAGGGACAGAGCAGGGAGAGGTGAGAAAGTGAAGACCCAGGGTCTCCAGAGGAGGAGGGTCAGCTGAGTGTGAGCAGGGATGTGAATGCAGTGAGGGGTGAGCCATGCAGACATCTGGGAAGAGTGTTCCACACAGAGGAAGTGACAAGGTCAGGGGCAGTGAAGGAATGAGGTCACGCTGCTGACCTCGACCCTTTAGGAGAGGAGAGTACACACACACACACCCACACACACACACACACCCAGGCTAGGGATGCTCAAGACCCAGGCTCCATCTTTCCAAGCATACTTAAGTCTTAATATTGATGGATTTCTCTCTCTTCCCTCCTAGTCTCACTTTTAACCTTCTGGAACCTGCCCACCACTGCCCAACTCACCATTGAATCAGTGCCAGCCAATGCTGTAGAAGGCAGTGATGTTCTTCTACTTGCCCACAATTTGCCAGAGAACCTTCAAGGTTATTACTGGTACAAAGGGGAAAGTGCCATGGACAACCAGCAAATTGCACTGTATGTGATAGCCACTCAAGAAACTAGGCCAGGGTCTGTGTACAGCGGTAGAGAGAAGATATACCCCAATGGATCCCTGCTGTTCCAGAATGTCACCCAAAATGACACGGGATTCTACACCCTACAAACCTTAAATATAAGTCTTCATAAAGAACTTGCATCTGTGCAGCTCCACGTGTACGGTGAGTGATTCTCTGTGACCTCTGGGTGCTGGGTGGGGTTGATTCCACTCCACACATACAAGTCCTCCACGCCTGCACTGTGCCGACCTCCTCCTGCATCGTGTCCCCTAGTTGGGGTTTGAGCATTGAGTGCAGGACACACACAGTGGAGACAAACTTCAATAGATCAGAATTCTCACCTGAATCCACCCTGCAGAGAGGACGGTCTGATGGGTAACTCAGTCTGTCCCAGGCCCTGTCATCAATGTGGCCCTGAAAAGACTCTGTAGGACTCAGGCAGGGTCTGGCTAAGGACCCCCTGGAATCCTCACACACAAACTCAGCCCTGGGAAGTCCCTGCACCAAGCCCCTGTCTCTGACTCCTGACTCCAGGTGACCTGGGGAAACTTGAGGCCAGGGTTGGAATTTGGCCTCCTATTTGGGCTGACGAGAGCCACATCTGGGCAAGGATATTTGGGCATCCCCCTCTCCTGAGACTCGGTGTGACAGCACAGGTGGACAGCTGCCCCAGGCCATTAGCCAAATGTCCTGATGAGCTGTGAGCCTCCACAGGAAGGCCAGTGTCCCAGAGGGGAGGAGATGCTATTGATGTGAGGCTCCTCTAGACCAAGCTCAGTGACTGTGAGCATTTCTAGGGTAATTCACAGGCAGTGTGCTAGCCAGATACCATTTGCCATGTGTCCTGTGGAAAGGAAACTGAGGCACAGAAATACAGTTGCTGAATCAGGGTCTCACAGACCATGGGTGACAGATCAGAGGCCCAGGGTGTCTATCTCCAGCCACAGCCTCCCCCTCCTCCCTGGAGGCCGCATTAGGGGTCTGGGCCCAGAGAGGAGCAGGTGGCTCAGGTGCTTTCATCTCAGGCTTCAGCAGCTTGGAGGGAGGAGGAGTCTGGGCTGGGGAAGGAGAGCAGATGGACAATTAGTCAGTTTTTACTCTGGACTAAATCAGCTGTTTCAACAGAATGTCAGGGCCTTTCTGCTCAGGCAGCCGAGACACTCCCTCCCTGGGTGGACTTGCAGTGGTGTTTCCTGGTGCTCTGGCTGTCACTCCCCCTGGAGGGTAAAGGAGAGAACTTTGCTGTCTCACTCCCCACTGTGCCCTGCACCAGCACAGGCTAACATGCAGCCAACTGTCAATTGTTTTGTTATGTAGGAGAGAAGTGGATGGCTAGCTGGCTGGCTGGATGGCTAGAACCTCTGGCTCTGCAGAGACTAGAGCCTGCATGCAGAGTCCTAGAGTTCTGCCCACACTTGCTCCTGTCACTACCAGAGGCTGAGACCCTTGTTCCATCCCTCAGCCACCTGCTCCTAAGGCCACCCCAGGGGCCACATCACATGGTGACCCTGGAATTGGGAAGGTTCTCAGAAATTCACTAGAGGCAGCCTGGAGGCTCTTGGTCCCTGTAACTGCAATGGCTCTCTCTGAAACTTCCTTGTCCCTTCTCTTCCTCATTCCAGGTGGGACTTGTGCCTGCCCCGCTTGCTGCTCCCTTACCTTCCCCAGACTAATGGCTGACTGAGCTGTTCCTTCCTGCTTAATACCTGAGGCCAGACCCACCATCCTGGGCAATAAATGGGCTCAGAAATAGAAATTAGTCAGAGCAGCTGCCTATGTGAGACTCCATCACCAGCCAGTGTCCTACAAGTTCAAGGAGTCTCCACTGTGTCCTCATCCAGGCCCCCTTTTCCCATGCTGCTGACATATGGAAAAGGCCAAGGCCAAGAGACAGGGTCAAGTAATTCCTTCTTGCTCTGACTCCGTCCTGGTCCCAGTGTGGGACTCGCAATCCTCCAGGGGTTCCTGGGAGCCTCCCCAAGGGGAAGGTGCCTCTGTCAGTGTTGTCTGATGAACTTACTGTGTATCACACACGGGTGTGCCCTAGTGACACCAGTGGCACAAGTTGGGACCTCCCACAAGGTGAGATGTGTCAGTCACTGTCATTTCAATTAGACACTCCCTGATTTGCAGGAATATGATAAATCTCTAGGTGTGATTTCTGGAGTGAAAAGAAAAGGAAGAATGTATTTCACACACCTGTGACAGGCTCCACAGCATTTGGGGACCTGGACTTTCTCTAATTTACTAATATGACATATAGCACTTCTCCAAATTTGAATTTTCCATTTATTTGTCCTTTTATTTACCAATACTTCAGACTTCCCCTCTCACCCTTCTGTCTTCCAGCAAGTCTTACAGCTCTCTCTACACAGAGAGCTGCTGATTTCAATCAACCTTCTATCTTGGATCCTAATGTGATCTGCAGGACTTAGGTCAGACTGAGACGTCTCATGCTCTGTAAAGATATATTTCCTCAGCCAGGTGCTGGTGGCTCATGCCTGTAATCCTAGCTACTTGGGAGGCAGAGATCAGGAGGATCACAGTTTGAGGACAGCTGTGGCAAATAGTTCATGAGACCCTATCTCAAAAAAACCCATCACAAAAAAGGGCTGGTGGGGTGGCTCCAGGTGGAGCCCTGAGTTCAAACCCCAGTGCCAAAAAGAAGGAAGGAAGGAAAGAAGGAAGAAGGAAGGAAGGAAGGAAGGAAGGAAGGCTGGCTCCTCACTTATAAGGGAAATTTCATTGAGAAAAAGAAATATTCCTCTCCACTGGCCTTAGATACAGGGTATTAACAACAATTTTCTCATTCAAAAGAAATTTAGCATCACAAATTTCTATCCCAGATCTGTCAAATACACATGGGGCATGAGGTCCTGATTTGCAGCATTTCATTCTCCCCAAGTTTGGCCAGCCAGTTTTGCATTTGCAAACATCCGCCTGCATTGCAGGCAGAGCCTCAGGGCCGTCACCTGCCCTCTGTAGTGGGACCAAAGATCAAGGAGTGAACGTGATCCCTGCTCCCACACCTGTCTGTCCCCTTCACCCTTTTCTAGGTCATTCCTTGGTCTCGTGCTTTACCTTTTAGGGGTTCCTGGCCCATGTCAGTCATATCAAACACCTGAGCAGAATTGTGCAACCTGTGGCCCCAGCCTGATCACAGCCAAATGCTGGGGTTGCTCCTGGTCTGTTTGTATGACTTCTACCCACACACCTGGTCCACATGCCAGGCCATGGGGCCTACTAGGAGTTTACACACCTGGAAGTCCATCAAGACCCTTCTGTACAACAGCCTTGAAAAACAAGGTCTCAGAGGACACAGTCCAGGCTGAGCAGGGGAGGTCTGTGCAGCTGGAGGGACTCAGAACCCTCAGGTCCCAATGGCAGGCAGGCAGCGGGTCAGTGAGGACCAGGAGATGCCCTATGAGTGGTGTATCTTAGTTCGCACCTGAGAGAGTGTGCTCTTCTCACACACAGCTCAGGTGGCCCCATGTTCTCTGAGCACCCAGGTCCTCAGACATCAACAAGAAACCACCAGGTTCTTTAAGGACTCAGGTTGGCTGGGAAGTGAGAGAGACTAATTCTGATAGAAAAAGGACTTTTGAGGCATCACAGGTACCACACAGGGCAATCTTCTTTCTGTTATCTGCACAGCGGAGTTACCCAAACCCTTCATCACAAGCAACAACTCCAGCCCCTTGGAGGGTGAGGACTCTGTAGCATTAATGTGTGAGCCTGAGACTCAGGACACAACCTACCTGTGGTGGATAAATGGTCACAGCCTTCTAGAGAGTGACAGGCTGAAGCTGTCTGAGAGCAACAGGACGCTCACTTTACTCAATGTCACAAGGAATGACACAGGACCTTTCGAGTGTGGAACCTGGAATCCAGTGAGTGCCAATCGAAGTGACCCTGTCACCCTGAATGTTCTCTGTGAGTAACTGTATTTCTCTATGGCCCTGACTGCCAGCCCCAATACACAGGGCCATAGGCCCAGCCACTCAGTCCCTCTCAGGGCCAAGTACACAGTCCCTCACCCCTGGGCACCCAGGTCAGACATGCTGACTTGTCCCAGGCCCATCCAGACAGCCCAGCCTTGAGGAAAGGAAGGTGGGAATAGCTGCTCCTGGCTGGAGAGGCTTGGGTTACTTCTGTGACAGACAAAGCATGTCTGAGACCCAGGCTCAGTGAACAGAGCGGGAGGCGGTAGAGCTGAGACATTTTAATCTGTGTATTTTGCTGGGATGAATCCCAGGGCCTCGTGCGTGCTGGTTAAGTGCCCTATCACTGAGCTGTATTCCCAGCTCTGATTGAGACTTTTTAAAAACAAGGTTGGTGACATGGCTCAGAGAGATGTTGTCGCCTTCTGCAGATCAGCAGCTTCTTTTTCCCTCTGATGACATCACATGTGGCTTTATTCTGTTTGCTCCAGATGGCCCGGACTCCCCCATCATATCCCCCTCAGACTCATATTTCGGTGCAGGGACCAACCTCAACCTCTCCTGCCAAGCGGCCTCTAACCCAACAGCACAATATTCTTGGCTTTTCAATGAGTGGCCCCAGTCATCCACACAAGAGCTCTTTATCCCCAACATCACTACAAATAATAGCGGATCCTACACCTGCCTCGTCCACAACTCTGCCACTGGCGTCAATAGGACCACAGTCAAGAACATTACAGTCCTTGGTAAGTGGATCCCTGGAACAGTAGCACCAAGCCCTGGAGTGGAGTCTTTTGGTTTTGTGCAAAGAGCAAGAAGAAGCTCACCCCAGCCTGTGTCCACAGTCATTAGCAAATCCCAGGCCTCCCCTGAGCCTCCAGCTCCATCCTTGAGCCTTTCTCCTTTCCCTGCTTCTCTCGTTTCTCATGGCAGATCTGGGGTCCTTCCTGGACTATGGAGAGGTAGTTCTTCCAACCCCACAAAGCCCCAGATTACGAAAGGGCTTCTCAGGGAGAGAGAGGAAGGGACCTTAAGGTCAGGTAGCTTCTCTGTGTTACTAACCCGTTCTGTCATCTCGCTGTTGTCATTTACCTCCTTTATCTCTACGAGGAGCACAATTTGAAGCACGCTCATACTGCTTTTCCTCAAATGTAAGGAGGAAACCCCTCAGATAGAACTCTGCTCCTGCCTCTGCCTCTCGCCCACTTGGTGACGGGCTCTGCTCTTGAGTCCCTCTCGAGTGGGAGGAGTCGGCTGGAGAATGTACCTGAGAGCCCTGTTGTGAATCTGGCAAAATTGTGAAGCCAACCAGTGCTAGAGCCTCCATGGGTCAGGTGCGGGGAAATGAGAAAAGAGCCAGCCTTGGCCATGTCTCTTGAGCTGTGTCCTGGCTCTGAAAGTCCAGCTGTATAAGAATGTAGACCTGTGACGCACCATGGAGAACCATGAGTGACAGCCACTTGGGGAACAGGAAGCTTTATGGTGGAGTCCCTGCGACAGGAGAAAGGGTAGTGCTGGAGTGTATGTTTTCAGGGAGGGTAATAGTGCTGGCCTTTTGTCAATACTGTGACCATTCACTTCTACAGATTTCCTTCATTGTGGTATTTCATCTACAGGCCAGGAAATAAAAGTCCTCTTCAAACAGAAATTATTTAGTTTGGAATTTCTCCAGATGTTAAGGTCATGAAGACTAGCTAGGCCATCTTAATTTCCTGACAAAGGATTTAATGAAAAGGGAACACCTTCCCTGCTACTTTATTATGGAGGATTCTTGGTTTTTTAATAGTCACAGAAATCACTAGCAAAGAGTTGCACAAAAGTCAATGGAAAATTTTCTGATGAGGAGGTATTGGCACTTGGCACATGTAGGCTAAGAAGAGGCTCCTGCTGTGGAATCTGCAGACACAGACGGGGTCCAGTCAGGAGTCACCCTGTGTGATCTAGGGTCAACAGTAGTTACGAATCATTTCCTGAATCATACCACCTCTGCAGAGAATCAGGCCAACTCCTGTGGTTCCTCCACCTTCCATTGTGGGACCAAGGGCTGGCTAAGACCTCTGAGTTAAGACTACTCTCTCTCATTTGGCCCTCCTCTCTGTTTGTCTTCAGAGTTGGTGACAAAGCCTTCCATCAACACCACCACCAACACCACAGTCACAGAGCAGGGATCCGTGGTCCTGATCTGTGTGTCATATGACACTGGAATCTCCATTCGGTGGATCTTCAATAACCAGAGTCTGCGGCTCACGGAGAGGATGACACTGTCCGAGGGCAACAGCACCCTCAGCATAGACCCTGTCAGGAGAGAGGACGATGGGGAGTACCAGTGTGAGGTCTACAACATGGTCAGTTCCAGAAGGAGTGACTCCATCAGGCTGGCTGTGATCTGTGAGTGGTCCATCCTGTCCTCCTATGTATTACTGGGGGATTTCTTTTCTAATGGTGTTCAAAATGGATAAAAGCCACAGGGAAAAGAATGTCAATTAAGAGACCAATATACAGCTAAGAATGGTGGCACAGGCCTGAAATACTTGGAAGCTACTTGGAAGGAGGAGGCAGGAGGATTGTGGTTTGAGGTCACCCCAGGCAAAATGACCGAGACCCTATCTCAAATAAATGAATAAATGGATTTCAAAAAATAGACTGGGGGTGTGGCTCAAGAATTAGAGCACTTGCCTAGCAAGCATGAGGCCCCAGTTCAAGCCCCAGTGCACACACACACACACACACACACACACACACACACCACACCACACCACACTAATAAAGCCAGATATAGTGGTACATCCCTATAATCTCAGCATTCAAAAGGCTGAGGTAGGAGGATCATGAGTTCAAGGTCAGGCTGGGGTTCACAGTGAATTCCATGGATATGCAGGGCTGACTGTATTGAGTTTTTTCTATTCTCAGTAGTCTGGCTGGCATTTACTGTGTAACTTTGCGCAAGATTCTTTTTGTTTTTCTCTTAACATTTGGTTTTTGGTATGAGGTTAAAATATGTATAACATAAGATTTGCCAAAATGGTCTAAAGTATACATTCTTTAGTGGCACCAAGTAGAGTCACATTGTTGTTTAACCATCACCACCATCCAGTTCTAAAACTTTTATCTTACCACACTAAACCTTTATCCCCCATTAATCATTAACTCCTGTTCCACCCCCACCAGCCCCTTGTAACCTCCATTCTCCTTTCTGTCTCTATGAATTTCACCTTTAGACCTCTCAGATACATGGAATCATGTGGCATTTGTCCCTTTGGTCTGGTTTACTTCATTTAGCATAACATCTTCCAGGTTCATCCAGGTTGTAGCATATATGAAATTTTTGTTCCTTTACTTTTTACTCTTTAAGACAATAATATTCTATTGTATGACTGTCATTTTGCTATTCATTCATTCACTCATCAATGGATTTTTGGGTTGTTTCTGCCTTTTGGCTATTGTGAATAAGCCTGCTATGAAGATATGCAAATATCCATTCAAATCTTTCTTTGCTTTCTTCTGGGTACATACCTAGAATTATCGGGTCAAACTGACAGTTCTTGTTTAGTTTTTTGAGGAACTGCTATGCCGTGTTTCACAGTGGCTATCCCATTTTACAGTCCCACTTCGCAATGTGTAAGAATTCCAATTTCAGCTGTGCGCATATTTCATGCCTGTAATCCTAGCTACTCAGGGGGCAGGGATCAGGAGGATCTCAGTTCAAAGCCAGCCCTGGGCAAATAGTTCAAGAGACCCTATTTTGAAAATACCCAACATAAAAAAGGGCTGATGGAGTGGCTCCAGTGGTAGAGTGCCTGCCTAGCAAGCCTGAGGCCCTGAGTTCAAACCCTAGCACTGCCAAATGAGTTCCAATTTCTCTACATCCTCAAAAGCACTTGTTTTCTGGTTTTTGTTGTTTTGTGATAGCCACCATTATGGATGTGAAGTGGAGTTTCACTGTAGTTTGATTTGCATTTCCCTTACGGTTAGTGATGTCCATTGTCTTGTCACTGTGCTTATTACCATTTGTATACCTTTTTTTTCTTTTTGTTTTAGGCAATACTGGGGTTTGAACTCAGGGTCTCACTCTTGCTACATCAGCACTCTATCACTTGAGCCAAGTCCCCAGCCCTCTATTTTTATCTTTTTTGGAGAAATGGCTATTCAAGTCCTTTCCTTATTTTTTAATTTGGGTGTTTGCGTTTCTAGTTGTTACTGTTGTTGGGTTGTGGAAGTTCTTTATGTGCTCTGGACATTAACCCCTTATCAAGTACACTATTTGCAAATATTTTTTCCCTCTTCCTCGAATATATTTCCCTGTTTTCCATTCTGGATTTTCTTTTATTTTTATTTATTTGTTTTTTTTTTATGGTACTGGGACTTGATCTCAGAGCCTTCACCTTGAGCCACTCCACCGGCCCATTTTTGTGAAGGATTTTTCGAGATTGGGTCTCGCTATTTGCCTGGGCTGGCTTCGAACTGTGATCCTGTTGATCTCTGCCTCCTGAGTAGCTAGGATTACAGGTGTGAGCCACCAGCACCTGGCTCTAAACTTTCTTGATAATGTCCTTCATATGTTATTATTAATTGTTTTAAATTAACATCATAATTACTATCTGCATTTTGGAGATACAATATGATATTTTGATATCTGTATACACTGTGGAATGATTAACCAAGCCAATTAACATATTCGTTATCTCTCTTATCTACCATTTTTATAGTAATACACTTGAAATTTACTGTTATTTTTGCCCTCTTTTTTTTTTTTTTTTTTTTTTTTTTAGTGGCATTGGAGTTTGAACTCAGGGCCTCACGCTTGCTAAGCAGACGCTCTACCATTTGAGCCACTCTGTCAGCCATACTCTGTTATTTTTGACATATACATTCATCGACTATAACCATCCTGCTGCAATAGATCTCAAAACTTTATTCCTAGCTGGGCATCGGTGGCTCACTCCTGTATCCTAGCTACTTGGGAGACTGAGATTGGGAGGATCCAGGTTCAAGGCCAACCCTGGGCAAATAGTTCTCCAGACCCCCATCTCCAAAATAACCAGAGCAAAATGGACTGGAGGTGTGGCTCAAGCAGTAGAGCGCCTGCTTTGCCAGCACAAAGACCTGAGTTCAAACTCCAGTCTGACACACACACACACAAAAACCTTATTCCTCTTGTTTGTTTGAAACTTTGTACCCTGACCAACTCCCCTTTCTCTCCCTCTCCCACAGTCAGCACTCTGTCTCTAGCAACCATCGTGTACTTCTGTAAATTCAGCTTTTTAGATTCTACATGTAAGTGTGATCATGCAGTATTTCTCTTCCTATTCCTGGTTCATTTCACTTAGCATAATATCCTCCAGGTTCGCCCACACGGTCACAATTTCCTTCTTTTTTAAGGATGAACATCTGACTTCTATTGTGCATGCATCCCACCTTTTTACCATTCATCCATTGATGGACACTTAGTTTCCATACTGGCTACAGTGAATAAGGCTGCAACCAACATGGTAATCTAGTTATCTCTAACAGATTATTTCAATCCTGGATATATCCAGGAGTGGAATTACTGGATGAGGTGGTTGATAATGTTTTTAATTTTCATAAGGTCCAACTTATCTGTTTTGTTGTTGTTGCCTGTGCTTTTGGTATCATAGCCAAGAAATCATTGCCAAACCCAAAGAAGCCCTATGTTTTCCTCTAAAAGTTTTATAGTGTAGCTCCTACATTTAGGTCTTTGAGCCACTTCTGGTTAATCCTTGTATATGTTAAGTAAAAGTTCGGCTTTATTCTTTTGCGTCAATATCCAATTTTCCCAACATGGTTTGCAGAAGACTATCCTTTCCCCTGCTGAACAGTCTTAGCACCCTTGTTGAAAATCATTTGGCCACGGGGGTGCAAACAGGTAAGAAGGAATAATGTTCTGCAGGACAGCAGGGTACCTGGGCTTGACAACAATTAGTTCTATATTTCAAAATAGCTAATTGGGCTGGTGATGTGGCTTAGGCAGTAGTGTGCCTGCCTAGAAAGCTCAAGACCCTAAGTTGAAATCCCAGTACCACCACACACAAAAAAAGCTAGCAGAGATGATTTTGAATTTTTCCAACACAAAGAAATGATAAATGAAGTGATGGATATGGCCAACTGACCTTGTCTGATTGTTATACATTATAATAATAGTATGAATTAAAACATCATACTATACCCATTTAAACACATGCATTTATTATGTATCAATTACACTTTTTAAATTTAAGTCATTTACTGGGGGCTGGGTGAAGTGGCTTTAAGTGGTAGAGCTTCTGCCTGGAAGTGTGAAGCCCTGATTCCAAACCCTACTACTACCAAAGAATCCTTATTATTCTGAAGAATTGATAGTAAAGTCTCCAGTTTCACTTCTGGTTTTAGTAATTTGAATCATCTCTTTTTCTCAGCTAATCTAGTAGAAAGTTGTCAATGCAGTTAATTTATTTTGAACAACCAATTTTTTGTTTCATTGATTTTCTTTACTGTTTTATTTATCTTCCCTGTAATCTCTGTTTCCCTCCTTCTGCTAGCTTTGGATCATTTGGTTTTTTTTCCATATCTTTAAGTTGTAAAGATAGATTGTTGGATTTGAGTTCTTTTTTTTCAGGAAAGGGGGTAATTGGGGTTGGAACTCAGGGTCTATACCTTGAGCCACAACACAAGTCCTTTTGTGTGTGTTAGGTATTGTTGAGATAGGGTCTCATGAACTATTTGCCCTAGCTGGCTTTGAACCGTAATCCTCCTGACCTCTGCCTCATGAGTAGCTAGGATTATAGGCATGAGCTACTGGTGCCCAGCAAGTTCTTCTTTTTTAAAATATAACCATTTACACTTACAAGTTACTTGTCCAAGATTCTTAACTTTGAGCCTCACATTCCTCAACTGAAAATTACAATGAGAATACTTGCTTCATGGTATTGTTTTAAAGATTTTAATGTAACACTCAATTTATACTTTAACAAAATGCTGAAGGAAATATTTCATAAATGTTAGCTGCTGTTATTACCATTATCAGCCTGGAAGTCAGGTAGCCAGATCACCTATTGGCCATATAAATTTAAGTGTTTAAATCTCAGATTTTTCATCTGTAAGATGGAAAAATGTCCACCTGACAGGGTTGTTGTATAGACCAAATATGATACATGTCACACATAGAAAGGACTTAGCATAGGACCTGGCACAGAGTAAGTACTCCATAATAGTAGCCACCATTAGCATTAATCACCAGCCTTGAGTTGACTGGTAAAGGCTAGGCCCTCATTGGTTGCAGCTAAAATAAAGAAGAAATCAATGCAAAAGGTGTGTAAATGGGGGAGGGGAAAAGAGGAAGAATTGTACAAAAGATAAAACCACTGGGACGTGGTATTAACTAAAGGTGGGAGAGGAAAAATGCAGTTAAGTGCAAACTTTCAAGCCTGGTGGTTCAGTTTTCATCTGAGATGAAGCCACGATGGCATTAGACATGCAAGATATTAATTGGGGAAAACGCCTGTGAGGAAAAGTAGGACAGAAGTGGAAGAAGCCTGGGAGAGCCCTGAGGCCACAGTGCAGATCCAAACCTTGTGAAGGCAAAAGAGAGGGAAAGAAGGTTTAGGTTGCAGTGCAGTTCTAAGAGTTTCTGCAATGTTGGTGGTGAGTTCTTGAGCCAAGCTCACTGATCAGAAGAAAACATGTCTTCCAGAACTGGGCTTGCTTTCATACCTGCTGGGAGTAAAGGGAATTGTGGTTTCTATGCAAAGGAGGTATTGAATTTAGAGTGCACTAGCCTGGGCCTTCTGTCAAGTCCTTGCCACAGGAGACCCGAAAGGCACATATATTCATGGCTGTCAGAACTGGGATGCTGAGAAAAGGATGAAACCATGAAAAAACAGGAAATTATAACACAAAAATAGCAATCATCTTTTCTCACATTTCCAAAGCCTGCAAATGACTACATAAAGGCCAGAATGGAATTGAGGCAAACACAGAGAATGAGGGAAAAATTGTGAGGATACACTCTGCTGGTCACCTCACACCTCATCTCACCTAATCAGCCTTCCCACAGAAAATACGTTCCTTAAAGAAGCTAGTACAAACTACTTCATGCTGAGAGTTGTTTCCCAGGGCCTCCTCACTAAAAAATAAATAAATAAATACGTTCACCTTCATTTCTTCTCTTTTCTTTCCATGACAGATGACCCAACAACAGCAAGTTCTGGCCTCTCAGCTGGGGCCATTGCTGGCATTGTGGTTGGAGTTGTGGCCGGGGTGGCTCTGATAGTGGCCCTGGCACATTTCCTGTTTTTCAGGAAAACTAGCGGGTATGATGGCCTTTCCTCTTCTTCTGTTTTCTCCAATGCTAACTGGCATGCTCGGGAGAGGGAAAGGACTTCCTAACCTCCATTTCTGGACTGGATCTCCTCCTTCCTTTTCCTAAACTCCTGCTTCTCAGCACTAATTCCTCTGGGTCTTCAGGCTCCCTGCCTTCGTGCTCCCAGTACCCCAGTACCTCACTGTGTCTTGGACATGGTTATTCCACACCCATCTATTTTAGAGCAACAATGCAATTATGCTTCTCTGTCCCCCAGTCAGGAAGCCAAGGTTTAAGAAGGAAAACAAATGAGAAAAATGAAAAGAGCAGTAAGAGAAAGCTGTTGACCACAGCAGCAGGAGGGAGGGAGGGACAGGGCAGGAAGAGAAGCTACAAAAAAGAAGAAACATCAAAGTCCTTTTAGACAATAAATAAAATGAAGAGGGAAAAAAACAAAATCTTCCTGTGGAATACATCGAAGTGTTAAGGTGCAGAAGCAGTCAAAAAGAAGACACCTGTAGGGATGGAGATGTAGCACAGTGATAGAGTGCTTGCCCAGGCTGGATCCCCTACACTAGAGGAAAAATATAAACCAAACAAGGACATCCACCTAACAGAAAAGGAGCAAACACTAGAAGGGATCACGATGAGAATGAAGAATTAGGTACTGAGAGGAAAGGCATGAATGAACATCAAGGACATCAAGGAGTGCTGAGGCATTTTGCTGACAGTGTCCTTCCTGACTCAGGGATCAAAGGTCCTGTGCTTGGGAATAGCAGTCACAGTGTCTGATATTTATTTAGGGCAAGCAACCAGCGCGATCTCACAGAGCACAAACCCTCAGCCTCCAACCACAGTAAGTAAAGCCACTCATCCAGTGAGAAAGGGTATGTTCCACCATGTGCCCTGCCCTGGCAGCGAATCCTGGATTCATAAACCACTCCCTCCTGATTTCTTACAGAGGGGATCTCCACTTCCTAAACCAAAGTGGGCATGGGTCCTTGCACCCTTCCTAGCCACAGAAGAGTCCCCTGAGACAGCCTCATTCCACCTAGGCTAGGCAGGCCTGAGTGAACCACCAGGAGCCGTTTCCTCATCCTTACTCCTCCCCTCCTGCCTGTTATGGCCGTGGGCATTCTCCCTTGGTGAGACCTTCCTTGTCTTTTGGGTGCTCTGGGCGCTGTGGGCCTCAATGCCCCTATTGCCATTCATTAGAGCATGTTGCTGAAAAAAACATCTGCTCAAGAAATCAAGGCCTTGTGAACTAGTAGAAACCTTCAGAGGTGGACTGAGGTCTCTGGTGGCTCTATCCCTGCCTCTCCTTGGTACCAATGTGCTGGGTCTGGACTGCAAATTCAGAGGGAAGCAAATTCCTTACGTGATCATGGGCCTCCTTCCCCAACCACCACTACCTGCTACCTCCTTGAGCTAGATATCACAAGGCCTTAAATCAGCTTTGCATTTCCATGGGTTGGTGACAACTCTTCTTTTGCTTCTCCAGGTCTGGGCACTTCTGACAACTCTCCTAACAAGGTAAGCACAGCCGATTTCACTGGCTCATTTTGTCATGGAAAAGTCTCTAGAGAGAATGGATTATACTTGAAGACACAAATGTGAGGTCAAGTTCTCACATTGGATCTGAGTTCTCCAATGTAGCAACAAGCAACATGTAGTCACTCCCATGAGTCTACCCTCATAGCAAGAATGTATAAGTTCAGATTGTCCCCATCCCATGCTTAAATCCTAGCTGAGACTCTTTGTAATGTGGCAATTTTTTTTTTTTTTTGTGGCACTGGGGTTTGAACTCAGGCTCTCACACTTGCTAGGCAAGCATTCTACCACTTGAGCCACTCTGCCAGCCCTGTAACATAACCTCTTTATCCTCTTTTATCACCTATAAAATGGACATTCTGCTTACTTCAAAAAGAGGTTGAAGGGAATTAAATGAGTAGCATACTTAAAGTACCCAGTACAGTGCCTAAAACAAAGAGGGCAGGACACATTCTCCTTAGGCTACTTCAATCTGACTCTGCTTACCTTCAAAGGTCAATTTGCTGGGGTTTTCTTTTATTTTATTAAAAAGTTACTTTACAAAATTTTTCCCATCTTAACCTTTCAACAGAGTTGGTGGAGTGGCTCAAGTGGTTAGCAAGTATGAGCCTAGCAAGTGTGAGCCCCTGAGTTCAAGCCTCAGTGCCACCAACAAAAATGGGGCGGGGAGCGGGGGAAGAAAACCAATTAACTTTTCAATAGAGTATACATATATACTAAAAGTGCTTAAATAATTAGGTATGCTTTCACAACGTGTGTGAACTTTCACAAGTTGATCACACTCATAAGGAGTACCCAAATCAAGATTACATGAGTTGGGTGTGGTGGTACACACCTGTAATCCCACCACTTGGGAGGCAGAGGCAGGAGGACCATGAGGTCAGCCTGGGCTATGTAGCAAGACCCTGTGTCAAAAAAAAAAGAACTCTTCTAGTCACTTCTTTATGAATATCCTTATGTGCATCTGACTTTTTTCATTCAGTGTTGTTCTGTGGGATTCATACACTGTCATATATAGTTGTGGTTTGTTTATTCTCATTGCTGTATTATTGTATTCCATGATAACAGCACCATAGTCTGTCTCTTCTCGTGACCATTTATCAGGATGTCAACACTCTGAGAATGAGTAACAAAACATCCTTTTCCAAAGCTATGTGTTTTTTTTTTTATCACAGAAAACATTTATTTTATACTTATTGAAACAGTGCTTTTAAAGTTAAACAGATTTTTATCACACCTATCTTGTGCAGACTAAAGAATGTATGAAACAAATTGGTTAAGTTCATATAACTTCATACTCTTCTGAATCACTTTTCAAATCACAGTCAAGGATGTCTGCATTTTCCCATACATGGCCCTCGGTGTCAAGAGAACTGGTGATGCAGCATTTCTTGAAAGAGTGCTCCAACCCTGCCTTCTGTCTAATGGCAGTGGGAAGCTTTGGATAAAACGCTGCTTGATGTCTTAATGACAATCCTGCTCAACACATGAATCGGTCACACCAGACAAAGCTATGTGTTTCAAAGGACTGGCAGCACAGTGATGCTGGATCACACCAGCCAAGGAGAGGTCTGCCCTTGATACTGATTTAACTGATCACGCTCTGACTTTTTAGGTGGATGAAGTTTCATATTCTTCCCTGATCTTCAATACCCGGGAACCCAAACAACCAATTCCAGCCTTGTCAGTCTCAACAGCTGCAGAAACAGTTTATTTAGAAGTGAAAAGGAAATAATGCAACCTGCCCTGCTTGCTGCATTATGGTGTATTCGAAGTCTCTCATCCCCACCCCTACTGGGAGATAATCTTTACCCTCAGAGGAAAGGTGAAGGAGATCCGCCACCCTCCACCTGCCCAATGGGACACCTCCAGGCTGCAGCCCTTCCCTTCAATGTCAATATATAAAAAGGTGCATTCGGAGTAACGGAGCTGACTTTTGGACAGTTACCAGAAGCTACCTGCTCTCCCTCTCTCCCAACCTAGACTGGTTTTGAATTTACCTATTCAGGGCATACTCATTCCTTACCTCCCTCCCATGTCCTATCAAAGTCTATAACTTGAGCTGGGCACCGCTGGCTCACACCTGTAATCCTAGCTACTCAGGAGGCAGAGATTAGGAAGTATTTGCCCTGGGCAAATACTTCTGGAGACCCTAATTTGAAAAAACCCTTCACAAGAAAGGGGCTGGTGGAGTGGCTCAAGGTATAGGCTCTGAGTTCAAGCCCCAGTACTGTAACAAACAAACAAACAAACAAACAAAAAAACCCTTGAGGGTTATGTCCTTTTCCAGTTACGTGCATGTGCCAGAAAAAAAGAACATAAAAGCAGTAATGTATTTTCCATTCTCTCCAAAGCCCAGTGTGAATCCATCACACACAGGAAAATTAAGTCTATCTAATAGTGCATGGGAAAGTCTACACTGTCAGGTTGCCCACTTGTGGCATCAGGGTATAAGCACCTTACTGCTTGGCCAGAATACAGCCTAAGTCCTTTGGCAAGCCTGTGCCCAGAGAACCCACTGAAGCAACTAGGAAAAGTATTTGCATAGGCAATCCCTAATGCAAAAGTGCATGCTCATCTTTGACATCTGTTATTTATTCTTGGAAGTGACCAGAAAAGGAGAGATTACAGCCTTGAGGGAAGCCAGCTTTTCATAGACACAGTCTGCTGGGAACTTGGGAAAGGATAAGAGAGATACCCTTCATAGATTTCTGTTAAAGAACATTGAGCTGGATGTGGTAACTTACATATGTAGGCAGGAGGATTGTGAACTTAAGGCCAGCCTGAGCTACATAGCAAGAAATACATACACACACACACACACACACTTACACTTGGAGGTATTGGGCTTTTCCACTTTTCTGAGACATTCCACCATTTTAATTTTTGTAACTGCTTGCTTATTCGAAAGGGTTATTTTACTTAGTTTAGCTGTGTGAGCCAATCTGTGTAAGGTGAAAGCCACCAAAATACCCCAGGTCTCCTTGGCCAGGGGCCTCTCAAGGCTTTTTGTCAACAACAGCTCCAAATAGACAATAACAAGAGGCTTTCCTTATCTGTGTCAGAAATGGACCTAACTCAGTTTCTGGGCATCTTGGACCAGTCACCAGCTATCCTGTCCCATGCTGCTGCCTCTGCATTTTCTACCCGTCTGCCCCCGTGGTCTCACTAAACCTTGGCCTCTGCTAGGAGGTCCCTCCCTGCTAGATCCTTGCAGGAAGACAAGTGGAAGTGCTCTAAAGGGAATGCAATAGCTCCTATCGATGGCCTAGAAAGCTGTACTGGTGCTAATGCCCTCAAGAACTGAGTAAGAGTGAAGGCATAAGTGGGGGCTAGCCTAGGCTTTCTGAACAGCCCCTAAAACCTGTCTTTTCTCCAGTGGGTCTATGAGTCCCAGTGTGTCCTAGAATAAAAAAAGGACAAGAGAAGGAATGCCTTCTGCTACAGAGATGGAATGTCTTTGGGGCTGTTAAGCAATGGTTTTATTTGATATTGACTCATGCTATAACCTAACAGGCCTCTTCCAAGAGAATTCTTTGGGAGTTCTCCTACTCAGGTACCTCTTTCAGGGATTTTTATCCCTGACACAGAATGTATATACTTTCCCTCCTCTGTGCTGTGCTCAGTTATTTAATTTTGCCTGGCTAAGGGCACTTGGGAATTATTTGTAAAATTCGCTCTATATTTATAATAAAAAGTACATATCAGACATCATTATGGTGCTTCGTGGCTGATACTGCTTTAGACAACATCTTCTTTACAGGCAGAAGAAAACTTCCATGGGGAGTTAGAGTAAGCATATTCCTAAGTCTACAAGTATCTGATTTAGTGATCAGAGATGTGGTAAACTCATTTGCAGATCAGTTAACAAAGTGAGTATATCTGAGCAATAGGCCACGGTTCCTACCTTCCTGCAAAAGAACTGCTTATCCCCCTCAAGGAGAGAAGACAGATTGAGGAGGAAAAGCTGGCCACCAGCGCTGGCGCAGTTGCTCAAGAGGTAAGAGCACCTGCCTGGCAAGTGTGAGCCCCTGAGTTCAAACCCCCCCCCAGTACTGCCAATAAATAAATAAATAGCCAGGCACTTTATTCTAGCTACTCAGGATGCAGAGATCTGGAGGATCGCTGTTAGAAGCCAACCTGGGCAAATACTTCACGAGACACTATCTTGGAAAAAAACCAACACAAAACAGGGCTGGTGGAGTGGCTCAAGTGGTACAGCACCTGCCTAGCAAGCATGAGGCCCTGAGTTCAAACCCTAGTACCACAAAGAAAAAAAATATCTCTAGCCTCTTCACAAGGGTTTCCACAGGTTCCATCATATAGAACTCTCCCTAGCACCATTTGTCTCTTCCTTAACAGTTTCTTTCTTCTGCCCTCTTGCAGAGGTGACCTGAACAACCTTGATGTGTTAATTCCACCATGTATTAACCTATTATCTCATTTTCCTCACTTACAATCAATGGAAGTGCACGTGCTGTTTTTCCCTTCCCTCATCCCCTGTTCCTACACACCCAAGACCACCAGAACCAGTGTAAAGACAGTATTCATTGCTTGGCCAAATTCAAATTATTCTCACCGTCCTTCCTCACACTTTAATTTTACATCACTTAAGACCACAGACAACTTTTTCTTTCTGGGGTCCTCTCCTTCCATCTCCCACCTAAGTGTTGCCCCCCAACACCAGAGTTAACACTCAGATGCTTCGTGTCTCACTCCACTCATCCTCTCCCCAGCTTCAAGGACCTCTCTACAGATAGTTCCTACATCTACATGTCTAGCCCCTGTTACTTCTCAGAACTTGTGACACCCACATGCAAATATCAAAAATCTCTTCTCAGTTACTCCTTATTTAACCCGGCTCTCTCCCTCAGCTCACTCATTCATCTCAGTGGCCACTGAAGTTTCCCCCAGTCACTGCTCTGCTGTTTCTCAGATTCACTGAATTATCAAGGTCCATTATGGTTTTTTTTTTTTTTTTTGGCTTTGTTTTGTTTTAACATCTATCAGTTGTGTTGTCCTGTATTCCCACAATCTAACTGACCCAGGCCTTCAACACCTGTGGGAAGTACTGTTTAACTTCTTTCTCTGGTCTTCTACTGAAATCTTTCACACAACTACCTATCACCTTCCTAAAAACGAGTTCACTCTCCTACTCAAGAATCTGCAGTGACCTATTAGTTCAAAATTCTTCCTTTTTTGGGGGGTACTGGAGCTTGAACTCAGGGCCTCACACTTGCTAGGCGGGTGCTCTACCACTTGAGCCATTCCGCCAATACTTATTTCAATTTTTAAAGATAAAATAAGGTGTGGCTAATTCAATCTATCAGATACAAAGCATGAGTACTCATATTCTATGGTGGCAAAATAAATTACCACAAATTTAGCACAAACTTAATAGTGCTCATTTTTTAGTTTCCAGAATTCAGTTCTTTGCAATCAGAGGTTGAGGTCCATTGATCTGATGGCCAGTAGGGACCACTCTCTACTACTAGATGACACTCCAAGGGCCCATGACCCCCTCCAGTTCAGCAGTGGTGAACCTCCCTCCCACACTTCTAATAGCTCTGATTTCCTCTTCTGAAACCAGCCAGAGAAAACGCTCTGCTTTTGAAAGGCTTTTGTGATTAGATGAGGCCCACTCAGATCAATCAAGAGGGGACTCTTGATTAACTCAACTGATTTGTAACCTTTATTATATCTCCAAAATCCTGATTGCCAGGCAAGGTGACATAACCATGGACATGAGGCAATGTTGTGTCTGATTCAGTTCCAGGAGTCAAAGGTGGTCTTGGAATTCTGCATACCACAGTGCCACATGAAGCTGTTCTTGCTCTTGCTCCTCTAGGTGCTTGTTCTGCAGAAGAGACAAAGAAGCCAAACAAACACGGCTGGTGTAACTTAACATGAGATAAAAGACTATTATTAGTCTGTTGTAGCTGCTGGACTGGATGAATTAAACAGTGGAATTTTTTTTTTTCAGTGCTGGGGATGGAACCCAGAGCCTTGCAAAAATGCTAGGCAAGTGCTCTACCACTGAACCACACACCTCCAATCCCAGCCCTAACAACTGAAATTGATTTCTCACAGTTCTGGAGGTCCAAGGTCAAAGTATCAGTAGATTTGGTTTCTTCACTTCTTTCTTTTCAGACAAGTTTTTTTTTTTTTTTTTCAGTACTGGGGCTTGAACTCAGGTCCTACACCTTGAGCCACTCCACCAGCCCTTTATTGTCTCATGAACTAGCTGCCGGGTTGGCTTCAAACCACGATCCCCCTGATCTCTGCCTCCTGAGTAGCTAGAATTACAGGCGTGAGCCACCAGCACCTGGCTTCAGAGAAGTTTTAATCAAATTTATTTTTAACTGATACACAAAAACATAAGGATTCTACATATTAATGGGTGCCATCTGATGTTTTGACACATGCATGCATTATGTGATGTTTAAACATATCCATGTCCTCAAACGTTATCATTTCTTTGTGGTAAAAACATTCAAAATCCTTTAGTCTAGCTTTTTTTGCTTTCTAGCTTCTTCAGATGTGTAAAATTATCATTATTCACATTCTATTGTACAGATGGCTGCCTGCTGGTGAGTCCTTGGGTGGTCTCTTCCCTGCACATGCACACCTCGTGTTTCTGTGTGTGTCTAAATTTCTTCTTCTTATAAGGACACCAGTCCAAATGGATTAGGGCCGACCCTAAGGGCCTTGTTTAACTTTATCACTTTTAACTGTCTATTTCCAAATACAGCCACATTCTGATGAACTGAGGAGTAAAGTTTCAACATAAGAATTTTTAGGAGCCAGGCATGGTGGTGCATAGCTAAAATCCCAGCACTCAGGAGGCTGAGGCAGGAGGAACTCAAGTTGAAAGTCAGTATGGGCTACATAGTAAGAGAGATCCTGTCTCAAAAAAATAAAATAAAATAAAAGGGGGAGGGACACAATTCAACCCATGATAGACAAAAATAGAAACAAGAAAGCAAGGACTCCTTTCCTTCCAGACTGTAAATGTGTGAGCCACAGATATACTCACAGTACTCTAGCCTTTAGCAATATTCACATACACTGATAGTAGCTAGCATTTAAGTTAGTCCCCGAAAAAGTAAAATTATTAGAAGTTGAAAGGCATCTCAAGAAATGAAATAAAAATCAGCCAGGGTCTTTTATAAACTTCTGGTGAATTATTCACTTGGCAAACATTATGGACTTATTATATGTCAAACACCAAACTAAGTGTTGAGAACATGAACAGAACCTGATTCAAACAACCCTATTATTAGAGAGACAGAGAGAGAGATAAAGAAACAGAAAGAAAGAAAAAGAGAGAGGAAAGAAAGAAAGAGGAAGCTGCACACCAGTGGCCTCACACCTGTAATCCTACCTACTCAGGAGGCAGGGATCAGGAGGATCGTGATTTGAAGCCAACCAAAGCAAATGGTTCGTGAGACCCTATCTCAAAAAAAGCCATTACAAAAATTAGGGCTGGCAGAGTGGTTCAAGGTGAAGGCCCTGAGTTCAAGCACCAGTACCACAAAAAGAAAGAAAGAAAAACGAAGGAAAGGACAAAGGAGGTAACCAAAGAACAAAGGAAGAAAAAGAAAAGGAAAAAATACAAATAAATGAATAAAAATAAAACAAGAAAAAGGAAAAGAAATGAAGAGCAGGCGTGAAGTAATTGCAGAAACTTGATCATTGACTAGATATTTCATGACATTAAGTATTCATTTTTTGAGTGTAACAATGATACTGTGATTACATTTTCTAAAGAGCCCTTATATTTTAGTAGTACAGCTGAAATATCTATGGATGAAACAATTTGGTGTCTAGGATTTACTATAAAATGATCCAGGTTTGGAGAGAGGGATACAAAGTGGAAGTAGAGTTGAAATAAAATTGGCCTGAAATGTACGAGTACATGTAAAATCATTGGCTCTACTTTTGTAACTATTAGAAATATTCCAAGAAAATAAAAAGTCCTTGCTCTCTAGAAGCTTATAACACAAGCAGAAAGGCTTTCCAATAAATAGAATGCAACACAGTTAAACGAAATAAATGTGAAGTGCCATGCGAGCTCCAAGGACAGAGAGTGCCCCAGGACAGGCGGACATGTCACCAAAGAGTCCCTCTCTGACCAGAGTCTTTAAGCAAGAGCATCCCAGGCCAAAGGGCAGAGAAGCAGGTAGAAGCCATGAAGTCAGGTGGGAAGTGGCAGAGCTTCCGCCCCTTCTGGATGACTTACTTGCACCCACCTTAGTTAAGTGTACAGGTTCCATAGCCAGACCACCTGTCCTGCTCCTGAGTCCCAGCTGGGAAACCTCAGTCAGGCTCTGTGCAATGTCTCTGCACCTCAGATTCTTTACCTATAAAACAGAGATCATAACCATATATACTTCCCAAGGCTGGTGTCATGAGTCAAGAAGTTAATTCATGTGTAAGCGCTTAGAAGCTATTTGGCAAGCAATAATGTTAGTTATTAGCAGTGGTAGTGGTATCTGAGCCCGTGACACAGAACCACACGTTTTGAAAATCTCAACGAATTTCCATTTGCTATGAATCTGGTTTTTTTTTTAAGGCTGCAAACTTATAGAGACTAGATCTAATTTATCTCTATAGTCCCAAAATAGCGTAAGGACGTGCCCATAATAGGCTTTGACTGGGCAATTCTTTCAGGTGGCAGTGGAGGGCCCACCAACAGCCTCTGTGTGACCTCTTTATTTCCAGGTTATACCCTCCATTTCTGCAAATTTTTTTGCGTACTGGGGTTTGAACTCAGGGCCTCATACTTGCTAGACAGGTGCTCTACCACTTGAGCCACTCTGCCACAGTCCTTTTTTTATGTTGGGTATTTTCAAAATATGGTCTCTGAACTATTTGCCCAGACTGACTCCGAACCTGAATTCTCCTGATCGCTGCCTTCTGAGTAGCTAGGATTGTAGGCGTGAGCCACCAGTGCCCGGCTCATTTCTGCAATTCTTGGGCTTCAGTTAGCTCCCATCTGTGTTCTGCCTTCTCCCTTACTCTGCACTGGGATGCTCACTCACTAGCTATGCTCTCTGCTCCCTTCCCTGGCAGGTTTGCCTATCCCCATGGGTATTATATTGGCTAAACAACATCTGTATCACTTATTGTACAATTAATGAAGGCTGAAAGAAGGCTGGATTTCTAGACCATTGGCCCTATCCATACCCTTTCGGGAGAAGTAGAAAGCTATGGAAAAGAAAAAAAAAACAGATAAGATTCAGCCCCAGCTCTGAGGACATCCTGCAGACATTTTTGTGCAATCAGCTAATACTTCTCTGTGGCATTCTAGAGTTCAGAACCAGTTAGGAAGGAGAAACAGACATGGTGAGCAGGGGCCCAGCTTGCTGTGAATATTTGCTTTGCAAATTTCAGAGTTTCTTTTCTCCCCACTAGCAGACATCCTCACTTCAAAAGCAGACTTAGAGAGACAGCACTTGAAGACTCAGAGTCTGAGAACAGAGAAGATACAAAACCACAGACAATCTAAAGTTGAAGTAGGGGCTCAGAGGAAGTTCCCCTCTGTACAAAATGCCCTCTGCCCTGAGCTGGGACATGGGCTGGCATATAAATCTGGTCTCCCCAAGAGTGGGAATTACCAGTAAATCATTAACCAACTTTATCCAGGAGCAGAAGAAAACAGAAACCTCTGAAGACCTCTCCCCCTACCCATTCTCCTGAAGTTATCTCTGAGAAGATGATTCACAGCTATGCCCTCACCTCCAGGTATAAGTGTTCTTTACTATGAAAAAATAAATGTGGGGGAGGGGATCAAAAAGCAGAAATAGGACACTGGAGAAAACAGACTGAAAGGGCAGCCTGGCATGCCTTGTTTAAAGGTCAAAGTCTCGTGAAGCATGCCAGGCCCCTTCCCTGCCTGGGCTGTGCGTGACCTGATGTTAGTTAGCCTTGCTCCATATTTGGAGCCCCACCAGAACCCAGCATTTTCCCTGCTTGGTGCTACAGCAAGGAAGAAAAGGGGAGTTGGGTACCAGAAAGCCAGTAAGTATGGAGGAGTATGCACCCTAAAAATACTAAAGTGTGATTATAAGGAAACGGATTTTCTTTGTTTTGCTTTTCTTTTCCCTTCTCTTCTTTTCCAGTACTAGGGTTTGAACTCAGGGCTTCGCACTGAGCCACACCCCCAAGCCTGAAATTGTCTTTCTTATAGCTCTCAGACTGGTCTTGAAAGTAACTTTACATAAGTGACCAAAACATTTTGAGTAATGACAGAACTTTTGGAATTAAGTGTATATTTATTTCCAGGAAAACTACTTTTAGGAAGCCCATATTTATCTGGTTATGGTATATTGTAAAACGAATCCTATCCCCATTCCTATAACTCACAAGTCTCACAACTTTATTATATTAACTTACATAGGACTGAGAAACAGTCCAATATCAGAAGGAGCTGGAGGAGGCCAACTCCCTCAGTAGGGGCTTTCCTGGCAGACCCCATCCACCAGCCTTGTTGGGTGCAAGGGAGTGGTGTTGGCATGAAAATGGACAGAAACACTCAAAGTTCTCCCACTTCCATTTGAACCCAAGGAGAGCACTACTGCTTTTGTTTATTTATTTATTTATTTATTGGTGGCACTGGGGTTTGAACTCAGGGCCTCACACTTGCTAGGCAGGGGCTCTACCACTTGAGTCACTCCACCAGCCTTTCTTTGTGATGGGTTTTGGTTTTTTGGTTTTTGTTTTTTGAGATAGGGTTTCTCCAACTATTTGCCCAGAGCTGGCTTTGAATCTCAGTTCTCCAATGCTCCTGATCTCTGCCTCCCGAGCAGCTAGGATTACAAGCGTGAGCCCCGTGCCCGGCTAGGCAAAGTAATTTCATTAATGCCAATTCTTCAAAGAGCCAGATGAAAAAGTGCTTATAGTTAAATTAGCAAATCAAGAGCAAGAGGTATGAGTGCTTAGTGTGTCTGTGAGCATATTACGTAAAGCTGAGCAACCTTTGTTCTTTTTGGGAAATTATTTTTATTACTGTATATTACTGTACAAAGTGAAGGGCTTCATTGTGACATTTCCATAGATGCATATGACCCACTTTGATCTTATTCACCTCCTCTATTACTTGTTCTTATCCCTACTTCCCACCCAATTTTTTTTTTTAATTTTCTTGCTATTTCTTAGGTTTTGGACTCAGGGCATTGCACTTACTAGGCAGGCATACTACCTCTTGCTAAGAGCACTAGCACTCTTGTATTTTTGGCAATATTGGGGTTTGAACTCAGGGCCTACACCTTGAGCCACTCCCCAGCCCTTTTTTGTGATGGGTTTTTTAAGTTAGGGTCTCACGAACTATTTGCCCAGGCTGGTTTCGAACTGTGATCCTCCTGATCTCTAGCTCCTGATTAGCTAGGATTACAGGCACAAGTCACTGTACTTGTCCCACCACCCCCTTTTTTCTTTTTTATAAATCTAGATTTCACATATGAGACAGAACATTCAGTCTTTGTCTTTCCAAGTCTGGTTTATTTTGCTTAACATTGAGATATCCAGTTCCACCTATTTTCCTATAAATGACATAATTTCATTCTTCTTTATGGCTGAATATTCCATTGTATACACAAACACATATACATATACACAAATATATATATACATATACACACACATACATATATATATATATGTCATATTTCTTTCTCCATTCCTTTGTTGATGGGCACCTAGGTTGATTCTATAATTTGGCTATTATGACTAGTGCTGCAACAAACATTGGTGCACCAACCTCTGTTCTGTTCTTAAGAATATTAAGGCCATATGACCCAGCAATTGTACTTCTAGGTATATACCTAAAAGAATTGAAAACGCATGTCCCTACAAAAACTTGTCCACAGCAGGTGTAGCAGTGCAGGACTGTACTTGAGAGGCTGAGGCAGGAGGATCAGGAGTTTGAGGCCAGCTTAGGCTGCATAGAGAGTTCCAGGCCAGCCTGTGCTACAATGTGAGACCTTGTCTCAAAAAATAAATAAATAGGGATAGTAGAATGGCTCAGGTAATAGAGTACCACCTGCCTAGCAAGCATGAGGCCCTGAATTCAAACCCCAGCACTGCCAAAAAAAAAGGAAATAAGTAAATAAATAAATGCTTATTCACAAAATTATTTGTAATAGCTGAAAGTGGAAACAACTCAAATGTCCATCAGCTGATGAATAGATGAACAGGAGCCAGGAGCTGTTGGTTCACCCTGTAATCCTAGCTACTTGGAAGGCTGAGATCTGGAGGCTCACAGTTAAAGTCCTGCCCAGACAAGTAGTTCTGGAGACCCCATCTCCAAAATAATCAGAGCAAAATGGAACAGAGATGTGGCTCAATCAGTAGAGCACCAACTTTGCAAGTGTGAAACCGAGTTCAAACCCTGTCCCACCAAAAAGAAAAAAAGAAAAAGATGAACAAAATATGGTATATCCATACAATGAATATTATTTGGCAATAAAAGATAATCCAGGTGTGGTGGCACACTTGTGACCCTAGCATTTGGGAGGCTGAGGCAAAAGGATGGAGAATTTGAGAACAGCCCCTGGGGCTACATAGTGATGCTCTGTCTCAAAAAAAAGGGAGGGAGGGAGGGAGGAAGGAAGGAGGACTGATACATGACATTGACATGGATGATCATTATTCTAGATGAAAGAATACAGTCACAGTTGGGCACCAGTGGTTCACACCTGTCATCACAGCTACTCCGGAGACAGAGATCAGGAGGGTGGAGGTTCGAAGCCAACCCCGGCAACTAGTTCTCAAGACCCTATCTCAATAAAACCCATCATAAAAAAGGGCTGGTGGAGTGGCTCAAGGTGTAAACCCTGAGTTCAAACTCCAGAACTGCAAAAAAATACAGTCACCAAGAACACATGTCATATGATTCCATTTATATGAAATACCAGAATGGGCCAATCCTTAGAGACAGAATGTAGATTGTAGCCTCCAGGAGCTGGAGGGAGAAACACGGAAAGCAGGGTGGAATGGACTGGAATGAAGAATGAGTACTGATGGGTATGAGGGTTCATGCTGGGTGAGGAAAATGTTCTGAAGCTGACAGTGATGATAGTTACACAACTCTGCGTATACTACAAACCATCCAATTATACATGTTGTGGAATATGAATGAAATCTCAATAAGGCTGTTCTAAAAAGGAAAAATAATCTGAAAGTCCGTATAAGAGCTCTGCCAGTCAGTTGGAGTTTAGATTTAGCTATAATCCCACAAAACCATTAAGACCCATATCAAGCCAACCCTGGCAAATAGTTCACAAGACCCTATCTTGAAAAAACCCATCACAAAAAAAGGGCTGGCTCAAGGTATAGGCCTTGAATTCAAATCCCAGTACCT